TCCCAACCCTCCACCACCCCCTGCCCCAGCGTCCCCCAACCCCCGCCCCTCGCGACCCCTCGGCGCTCGGTACCGGCTCCGCTCCCCGCTCGGTGCCGAGCGGCTCCGCCCCGGAACGGGCCGGGACCGGGCACCGGCCGGAGCGGGGCCGGGGGCGGGACCGGGGACCCCCGCGGGACTGCACGGCCCCCGCCGCGGGACTCCCCCCGCGGCCGCCCTATAGATAGGCGTTAATCCCCGTTAATGAGATGATCCTCATTAACTGCCGAGGGGCGCGGGGGGCTTTGCACGCGCGTGTGCGCGGGCACGGCTGGGACTCCCCCACCCCCTTGCCGGGGCGCGCTCCCGCGTGCAACTCTCGGCCTGAGACCCCCCCACGCACACGCGTGAGCGGCGTGGCGGCCACCCGCGTGTCCCCCTCTCCCCCAGAGCCGTGACCTGGCACCGGCACCGAAGTGCGGCCGCTTGCCCCGCCCGAGCGGCGACCGAGAGCTACTGGGAGTTACTGGGATATACTGGGAGCACTGAGCCGCCCCCGATGTCCCGCTCAGGCTCCGCTTCCCGAGTGTCACCGGCTGCTCCGGGGTGCAGAGGGGACCCTGGGGACATGGCAGGGGTGGGGGACGCTGGGGACACCCCCGAGACTCGGGGGGAGTGCCGGGGGTCCCGAGGGGCCGGGCAGGGGGTGACACCTGCTGGCACGGCCTGGAACGGCTCCGCTCGGGGACCGGCGGGGGCGATGTCCCCGGAGCCGTGGTGGCAGCGCTGGGGACACCGCGGTGTCCCCCGAGTGTCCCTGAGGGGCGGCGGCATCCCCGGGGGTGGCCACGGCCGGGGACGGTGCGGCCAGCGGGGGAACGCGGAGGACACGGACACACCCCGCAGCGGACACGCACAGGACGCACGGGGACACACGCAGGACTCGGCGGACACGCAGGACATGGGGACACACAGGACACGGGCACACAGAGGACACAGGACGCACGGGGACACACGCAGAACACGGGGGACACACGCAGGATACGGGGGACGCAGACAGGACACACGAGGACGCACACAGGACACGGGGGACACACTCAGGACACACGGGGATACACTCAGGACACACAGGGACACACGCAGGACGCACGGGGACACACGCAGGACACGGGGGACACACGGGGACACACGGGGACGCACACAGGACACACGGGGACACACGCAGGACACGGGGGACACACTCAGGACACACGGGGACACACGCAGGACACACGGGGACGCACAAGGACACGGGGGACACACGCAGGACACACGGGGACACACGCAGGACACGGGGGACACACTCAGGACACACGGGGACACACTCAGGACACACAGGGACGCACACGGGACACGGCGGACACACGCAGGACACACAGGGACACACTCAGGACACACAGGGACACACGCAGGACACACGGGGACGCACGGGGACGCACACAGGACACGGCGGACAGACGCAGGACACGGGGACGCAGAACTGTCCCCGCCCGTGGGCGCGCCCTTTCCCGGCGGCCCTGCAGGGGGCGCAGTCGCCGGCGCGGGTCTGGCCCCGCCCCCGGAGCGCGTC